GTTTACATTTGAAAAGATATTTCACCTTGTGATCATTTTTCGTAAAGTTGTGGGGGTTTAAAGATTGACATTGTGGCCAATTTGGGACAATTAACGCGGCGATAAATTTCGCGCTATTAACGCGTAAGCGGAGATTTAATTCCGTTTTAGAGATCGTTCCAAATTGGTTAAAATAAGCTTATTTGCCAAATTGATCTGTTACAAGGAGCGAAATCTATCCTTTTGTACTTAAAATGGTGTGTGGGGGGATGATTTCAGAAAAAAAAGTTTTAATTTTATTTTATTACCTTTAATTTTTTTTATAGGTTATTACTGCTCCAAAAACATTAAAAAGCAGTCGGAACATTCAGGGCTTCGCCCTGATACGAGCAGTCTTGTTCTTATTATAAGCAGTTTAATTACAAACTCGTACAAATTTAGTATCGTGGAGTGATTCTGGATCAATATATAGCATTCAAAAATGACTTCAAAAAATGGCCTACCGAACAAAAACTTTAATTAAACATAGTTGCAAAAATTAGTTTTCATAAAAAGTTCTATAATATGATTATTGTAAGCGCATTTGACATTAGTAATTTGCAATAACCCGTCATCTTGCGTAACAGAAAATCAACAAACTTAAGGATAGTTGGATAAAAAAAACACAGCCGTGTTAAGGATCAATGGATAAAAATCGGTGTTTATAGACTTTTATTGTCTGTCTTCAAAACACTTTTGAAAAACAAAAAACGAACTTGTTTCAATATTAATCAATTAAATTTTCGGCAAATTAACTATCAATAAACCCATTATGATTGATTTTGATTAAACTGGTTATGCCAAAATTGATTTCTATCGACCAATTTTATGATTTTGTATTTTCAGTTTGGTTTTCAAATCCGAGATACAGTGATGGTTTTTGTTCCGACTTTCGATACGAAAGTAACGGAATATTTTGTGCTCGGGGTGGTTTTTTTTCTTCAGACAAATTTCGACTTTTTAACTAGCCCTTTTTGACGAATTTTTTTTTTATATCATTCGAAAGCCATTATTGTTTTGAGTTTAAATTTGAAAAGATATTTCACCTGTGATCATTTTTCCTGAAGTTATGAGGGTTCAAAGATTGCCATTTTGATCAATTTGGGACAATTAAAGCGTGATATAATTCGCGCTATTAACGTGTAAGCGGAGATTTAATCCGTCTTATAAATCGTTCCAAATTAGTTGAAAGAAGCTTCTTTGCCATAATTGATTTATTACAATGAGCGAAGTCTATTGTTTTGTACTTTATATGGCGTTTTGGGGATGATTTTCATAGACAAATTTTCAAATTTAGAAAAAAAGTTTTTCATTTTATTTTGTTTCATTTAATTCTTTATGTTGTTTATGTTATTACTGCTCCATAAACGTTAAAAGACAGTCGGAATTTTCAAGGCTTCGCCCTGATACGAGCAGTCTTGTTATAACTTTATTGTATAATTTGTGCTCGAAATTTAGTTTCAATTTAAAGTTTTGCAAAATCTAGTTTAGAACAAATAAGCAAATATACGGAGAAAAAATGGGATATTATTGTTTGTAATGGGGAAAATTGTCTAGAACTTAAGGCTGGCATAAAATTGTATATGAAAAAAAACATGAACTTTTATTGAAAAATATTATTATTTAATGGAGATTTTTCTTGGAAGATAAGCGATTATGTTGAACCATTAAATCATTTAGAGCGAAGCCCTGGAATTTCCGACTGCCTTTTACGGTCTATGGAGCAGTAATAACATGAAAAAATTAAATGTAATAAAATAAAAACAAAAAAAAAGTTGAAGAAATTTGAGATTTTTTGTGAAATCATCCCCCATTACGCCATATAAAGTACAAAATTGATAGATTTTGCTTATTGTAACAAATCAATTATGGCAAATAAGCTTCTTTCAACCTGTTTGGAACAATTTCTAAGACGGATTAAATCTCCGCTTAAACGTTATTAGCGCGAAATATATCGCGCGTTAATTGTCCCAAATTAGCCAAAATGGCAATCTTTAAAACCCCAACAAGACTGCTTGTATCAGGGCGAAGCCCTGAATGTTCCTACTGCCTTTTAAGATTTATGGACCAAAAATAACTTTAAAAAATTAATTGAAATAAAATAAAATGAATTTTTTTATATGAATTTTTTTAAATGCAAATCATCCCCCACACGCCATATAAATTACAAAATGATAGATTTCGTTCCTTGAAACAAACCAATTATGGCAAATAAGCTTCTTTCAACCAATTTGGAACGATTTCTAAGACAGATTAAATCTCCGGTTACGTGTTAATAGCTCGAATTATATCGCGCGGTAATTGTCCCAAATTGGTCAAAATGGCCAAAATCGCAACCTTTAAACCCTCATAACTTTACAAAAAATAATCACAGGTGAAATATCTTTTCAATTTTAAGCTCATAACAACAATATCTTTTGAATGATAAAAAAATTCCGTCACAAATGGCTAGTTAAAAAGTCGAAGTTTGTCTGAAAAAAAACCCATCGTTGTTACGAAAAGCGAAACAACAAAATTTTAGTTCAAAAAAAATGATCCATTTAGATCAATTTTTACCCATAAAATATCCATGCATGTGATCAGTTAAAGTTGTGATTGATTGCTGTGATTGATTGCTGTGATTGATTGCTGTGAGTCAACTTCAATTCACCTTCTAATGAGGAAACTTGTTGTTTTTCCCGATAACGATCTGCCATTTTAATAATGTGCGATTTGGGAAAACCAGACAACATTTGTCAACAGCTTATATTGAAACAAGTCTGCTCGTATATCAGGAAAGCCCTGAAGGTTCCAACTGCTCCTTATTTAGTCTTGACAAGTTTTTGTTAAGTAAAACTTCGATACACAATAAATTTTTTTCTCCCAATATCGAGCGTAAGTGCTAAATTTTGAGTCGAACCAATTAGTTGACCTCAATTCAACTATGGAATGATTTCAGTGCGGATAATTTGTCAGGCATAAATATTTCGCGTTTTGAAAGTGTCAAGTTTTCTTCGAGCAGCGTTACCATCCCCATTGTTATGTATTGCAAGCATACTCGCTCAGAAATCCAACGATTTTCGAATCCATATTCATACGCTGTCGACTTTCTTTGAAAAATTGGTCTGAATATAAAAAACACCCCAGACATATGTCTGCCTGACTCCCTTTGAAATTCGGAACAAGAAACTACAAAAATCACCACATTGATACATACACATGAGAGAATCATTTTTGTTTGTCGAAAAATTCAATTGACAATACAGAAATATCTTTATTTAGAGGTCCGCTTGGCACTTATAGACGAGCGCTTACAGTCTAATACTTTTTTGCACAATTAATTCAACTAAATAATTAATAAGTACTTACCAATGCCATAGAAGTAAATCAACTATAATTCGTTTTAAAAAGCAAAACCATACTTTTGATTTTGAAATTTTTTTAAGTTTTATTTATTCCAGGGTCCAAGACTCCCAAAGGGACAGCTGCCCTGGACAGAGACAAAACATACTTTCCATTTGGGAAACCAGGCAGTGGGGCGCCTATCACAGACTCAAACACGGGCAAAGTGAAGACACTGCTGAACGGAAAGTTCCGACAGGACTATTACGTAATTAAGTTACTGTTATGTAATAAAGTAACTGCAATAAAATTACTGCTCTAACGGACCTGGAAACTACTTTTGAATTGAGAGAAAAAACTTGAACGACAAGTTAGTTTAGCTGAAACGAAAAAAGGAGAAATTTATGAAAAATTAGTATATTTTATCAGTAGCGGATTAAGGAAGAAGCGGCGGGGAGGAAGCAGACGCCCCTATTTTTCCAGGAATTCGACCCCCTGCCTACCCAAAGTGTCCCCCCTTTGGCTCTATTTTAAGACATCCATTTTTGGTTGACTGGTCATAAAATTTTTTACAGGTGCCTTCGGCTGCAAAATAAACTAATTTTGTAGGGGGAGCGCACCCATTCTTGTAAAAAAAAAATAAAAAAATTGCAGTCGGACATTGCAATATTTTTTCACATTTTTTTGTTTTTCATAAGAATAGGCAAAAAATTGTAGAGTTGGCATTCCAAAAATGGATGTACTAAAATAGGATCAAAAACGAGGGGTACGATGTTGAAGGGATCCAAGTCCTTGGAGGCGATTGGGGGGTGGTGGGAGGGATTGTGGAGAAGCTAATGTTTGTCAAACGCCCCTGAACCCTAAATTAATACGTGATTTTCTCGCAGTGTCTGGACAACAAAGACCAGCAGTCGAATGTGAAGAGACGGCGGGAGCTTCTGGACGAGCAGAGGAGAGATATTAGTCAAGCAGAATGGAAGCGGCGAGAGATGGCGAGGGAGATGCGGAATGCACCTGGCAGCTCAGTGGACTTGGTGGAGAAGATCAGGTCTTTCAATGAGAGGTATCCCCCCGCACCCACTTCGAGGGGGTCCTCCGACATCACCAGGAAGGTCAGTTGTCATACTTTGTAATTGGTCAAAGGAACGATTCAGAGATGGACTTCCATGGACAGGTAACCCGGGTGATACTGTTTTCACCATATATCTTTTTATAACAACTCTATTAAGTTCATTTTGGCTACCCCCCCCCCCCCCCCCCACCTGCAAAGATATACAAAATAAAAATTTTGTTCACGTTGCTCGATTGCTATGAAAATTGGCATGCGAACTGATTAGGCCATGGCAAACATATTTGGCATTCGTAATTGCCCTTGTAAAACCACTCCTTAGACCATAAAATTGATGCTCGTGTGAGGTGGGTGGGGGAAAAGGAAAAGAGCCTTCATTTTATACAACGTTAAGCATTAGCATTCGACCAGCTCGAAGTGGAACAAAATCACAATATACAATCACATTCACACCACGACATCTTAAGCAAAGCACAAACTAAATGTACCATAACTGTTTTTTTATTCAAATAGTCTTAATCTCTATGTTCGAACTTTGGAAGAAAGTTTTTTGCATAAGTTTCTTTTTTTGGGATCAGCTTTAAAAACTCTGTAGCATTGCTTTTTTAACTTTTAAGTTTTCAATAAAAATTATTTCGAAATCAACAGAAACAATCTTCTTCCTCGTGTAGAAGGGGAGCAGTGTTCTTCCTCGTCTCCGGCTCTCAATCTCCGCCTCCTGCAAAGCACTGTCAATAAAAATTTGGCCTTAAACGTCATTTTTGGGTCAATTCAAAAATGTTTAAATGAAAAAAATTCGCCTCTAGATTTTCTGCATGTTGGCTTCAGGATTAGTTGACAAAAATGCGATATTCAAATGCTTCATAAGGACTGTGAAGAGCCTTCACTGTCCTTCTGAAGCATTTGACAACTTCATTTTGCCCCAAAATGGGGTCGTCAATTTGAGTCGTCAAATGGATGTCCCAAAATAGTACCAAAGGGGGATCCTTCGGGGGGTCAGGGGGTCGAATCCCTAAGGGTGGAGAGTCGTCCCTCCTACATCCGTCCCTGGCGCAGAGAGTGAATTTGTGAGCTACAGTTCCAAATGTCGATAGTAACTCTGTCGCATCAACAAATAACTTGGCGCGAGTTGAAAAAGAAAATATTTCAAATGCTTTTTGAAATGCGGAATCTGTACTCCTGTTTTCAGCACTTTGACATAAGATACGCAGATCCCCAGACTTCTAGACTGTACAGTGAGGAACTGGATCGCCAGTTCCTCCAGAAACAGTTCGAGAGGTTCGAACGGGAAGTGAAAACTCACAGAGACGAGAGGGAGGTTTGATACGTGTGTTGCTTGTTCCTGTGTGTGTTTCAAAATGCGTGTTAAATTGAATCAGATCCAATTAATATCTGTGTTTCTCATTATACTTCCCTGAAAATAATATTTTGGGACTCTATTAACATTTTTATTCAAGTTTTTGCCCTTTCCTCTGTACCTGGTTGACTTTCATGGGCGCAATTTTGAAATTTGAAGAAAAAGAGGTTTTAAAAAGATTTAAACAAGTCACAAAAGAAAAAATTTTTTTAGGCAATGTTTAGCCATTCTAACGAAGCTCGTCAAAGATGTGTTCTGATTGCCAAAGAGCAAATTCTTGATCTTAAAACTGATATTGAAGGATCTTAGCTAAGCTCTCACATAATGTTTAATAAAAAACGCGGAAAAAAATTCAGCTTCAAAATAAATTATAAGAATTATAATAAATTATTTATGTACTGATCGATTTTTAGTCAAATTTTGTTTAAAAACTTAATTTTGTTGTGTTCTTTTAAATTCTACAAGAAATTTATGCTTAGCTGAGGTTGAGATCATTAGTTTTCCAATGAACTCGACTGCTTTTATTTATGGACAAGGTTCTTATGAGCAGTTATGTACATGTTAATTTTTTTAACAACTTTTTTGAGAATTTTTGTTCCGACTTTCGATACGAAAGTAACGGAATATTTGTGCTCGGGGTGGGTTTTTTTTCTTCAGACAAATTTCGACTTTTTAACTAGCCATTTTTGACGGAGTTTTTTTATATCATTCGAAAGGTATTGTTGTCCTGAGCTCAAATTTGAAAAAATATTTTACCTGTGATCATTTTTTGTAAAGTTATGGGGGTTTAAAGATTGCCATTTTGGCCAATTTGGGACAATTAACGCGCGATATATTTCGCGCTATTAACGCGTAAGCGGAGAGTTAATCCGTCTTAGAAATCGTTCCAAATTGGTTAAAAGAAGCTTATTCGCCATAATTGGTTTGTTACAAGGAGCAAAATCTATCCTTTTGTACTTTGTATGGCGTGTGGGGGGATGATTTTCATAAAAAATTTCAAATTTTGGAAAAAAATTTTTTCATTTTATTTTTTCTTACATTTAATTTTTTAATGTTATTACTGCTCCATAAACCTTAAAAGGCAGTCGGAACATTCCGAGCTTCGCCCTGATACGAGCAGTCTTGTTATATTGAAATATTTGCTTCGTCAAAAACAGGTGTGGGCTTTTTTTAAAGCTGCTTCGGGTACTTTCTTCAATTTTTGTCATTCATTTTTGTACATAACGAGAAATAAAGTTTTATTGGTTTTTAAACGAATACTTCTCATGGCTCCTTAAAAGCAACGCTTTTCTTTTTTGGCTCAGTTAATTCTCTTTATATATGTTTGTTTTCTATCATATTAAATCATATTAAATATCTTTTTTCTATCATGTTTCAATTTTTCATGAATTTCAAGTAGTTACAAAGAAAATGACAAAAACGAGAAGAAAATAGCAGTATAGAGAAGAAAATGTTCATTTGTTTCATCGGGTGAAAAGCAAAACTTCCACCTTTTGTGGTCCTTAAATGTAACTGTTTCCCTTTTTCACTGAGAGCAGCTGTTTTGCTCCTGCTTAAAAACCATAGGCAAATTTTTTGGACTGAGAAGTGTTGCTGGCTTACAAACTTTGAACAGATATTGTAACTTTTCTTTTTCTTGATTTAATATGTGTGTGGTAGTTTGTTGTCTTTTCGGTTAAAAGTTGAACCAAATGAGCTCTTAGATAGGGGGTTAATATACCCTAGTCGATCAAGGGAGGTTATCTTGCAAGATCTTGCAAGATTCTTGCAAAAGAGGGTTATCTTGCAAGATCTTGCAAGATGGAGGTTATCTTGCAAGATCTTGCAAGATGGAGGTTATCTTGCAAGAATCTTGAAAGAGGAAGGCTATCTTGCAAGAATCTTGCAAGAATCTTGCAAGATAACCATCCCTTGATCGACTAGGGTATACTTAGCTTCAGGAAAACGTTCTGAACGCATTTTTTGACAAAGTTTTCAAAAAAAACAAAAAAAATGCCATTTCTCTTAGATGTATTCTCGACATATTGCTGGTCGGGAAAAATTTTAGCTCAAAGCTGACTTTTCAATTTCTTCAATTTCCTTTGCAAAAATTCTGAACCGCCCCCCTAGTTTTTCAAAAGTTTGAATATTGTTAAAAGTTTTTCAAAAAAATCAAACTGTTTTATTCGACTTTCCGGACCTTGCGTCGCGACAGTTGCGACTCAATTCGCGACTTTGGATGCCCGTCGGTTCAAAAACGAATGCCGCTGACTTGTTCTTTTGATGTTTAAGCATGAGCACGCGATGAATTCGTACTTCTGGAAACCAGACGGTCACGGAGCTCCCTCCCCCTACCGACCAGCCGGCAACAGAAGAATGAATCTCGGGCAGTCACTTTACCCCAACCCAAACGGATCCACATACCAGGTTTCCACTACTTAATTCCTGCCAACTGTTTTTACTCAAAAATATTATCGGAATAGTCGTGGAATTAGTTGCTTAGTTGTGGAATTATATTGTAATTAACTTCGAATAATTAGTCAAGGCTTTGCCGAAGGCTTGTTTGATTTTCTGAAAAACACGATTTTTTTGTAAACAGTCAAACTTACCACGAAAATGTCATACATAAGTATTTTGGAAGTTTAGACTGCCTTAACTTGGCTTAGTTTATAAAATTCAATTATGAAAGATTTGTAAGGCTTTGATTAGTTGAGTTTTTTTGGCTGTTCCAGATTTTAGGATTTTGCTATTTTGTTTCGCAGTGTTGCGACCAGGAATAGATATAATAACATTTCTGTTCATTAAATATGTTGTGTTTCAGAAAATATTTCACCCTATAAGAAAGTCAAACTCAGAGACGAATGTCTCGAAACCCCTCGTAAGTGCCGCTACAATTGTGGTTAAATTTGCAAAGTTAAGTCCAATTTGAATTTACTTTTTCTCTTTTTTCTTAAGGCTTCTCCGAGAGAAAACAACTTGTTCTGGTGGATGGACACGCCCCCAACTGTGAGTTTTAATAGTACCAGTTCTCGGTTTTTATAGTTCAAAACATTAAGCTTCGATGGAAAACAAAGTTATGAAAATTTTGATGCGAGAAATTAACATTTCAGTTCGGCTAGTTCGATCATCAGTCGAGTTCGTATTCGAGCGAATGAGCTAAAAATTGATGAAATGTAGAAAAAAGTTTTTTAACAAAATTAGCACCCAAGATTCTTGCTGTTTGACCGCTAAAGCCTTCAAGGAGAACAAAATTTGTTAGAAAACACACCCACCGTTCAAAAGAAAAACATCACTTCGTTTTAAACATTAGAGAATATCAATTTCGGGTTATTTTCAGGTCGACTACAAGCTGACAGCTCCATTTGCAACCTCCAGTGAAACTTTTTAGAGTCCAAATTTTTATCCGCAAACTGAATTTGCTGAAAATAGAGTTGCCAAAGTTGTAGAGTGTAGATATAAATTTTCAATTTAAAATGTAACCTCATTCAGATTTCCCTTATGTAGTGTTTAAACTTGCAGACTCGCTATGGAATTTCATGGATAAAAATCAATTACAAATGAGTTTTATTGTAATTATCTATAAAAGTGAAAAAAAATCTATTTCAACCAGCTAAAATGTATAGAATGCTATTAATTAGTGCAGCATTAAAATCTATCGCAAATCAATTATAATCGGTCATTTTTCACTTTTGTAGATAAAAACAAAAAACACTCCTTTATAATAGTTTTTTTCCCACTTTATTGAGGTGCGAATTTTAATGCACATTAAATCTTTTGTACGTTTTAAACTAAAGATGGGGAACTGTTCTTTAATTTCAACCATCTTTTTCTGCGCATCATTGTTTTTTTCTTACTCAATCTATGTTAATCAAATTTGTCCCTGGGTCGAGGTCCGCGACTTAAGAAAAGACAAAGCGACTCAAGTTTGGCAATTCTAGACTGGCGTGACTTTAACTTGGCAATTCCAAACCGGCGCGACCGAAACTTGGCAATTGAAGACCGGCGCGACTGAGAAATAACCACCGCGACCGGCGCAACTCAAAGCACCGTCGAAACTGGCGCGACCTAAGGTAATGGCGCGACCGGCGCGACTGAAAATTTTCAATTCCAGAACGGCGGGACTGAGAATAAGCCGACGCGACATGCGTGACTTAGCAAAATACCAAAAGTATTTTCTTAAATCGCGCCGTCGGTCTGATCTTAAGTCGCGCCGCTTCAGTCTTTTTCTAAGTCGCGTCTCTCAAATCTTTTTTTTAAGTCGCGCCACTTAAATCTTTTCTTAAATCGCGCCGCTCAAGTCTTTTGTTAAGTTGCGCCGCTTAAGTCGCGCCGCTAAAGTCTTGTTATAAGTGTATGTATTTATATATTTACGTATATATAAACTTTGGGAAGGAGTGCTAAAAGTTCTTACAAAATTAACTTTTCTAAATGATCTTAAAAAATAATGTTCATTCAGGGGGATAATTGAGTAGGTATTTATGTATGTTTGTATGCATTTATGTAAGTATGTATTGTATGCATTTATGTACTCTAAATTTGTCAGGGATTGCGGGCCGAAAAACTGCAACGGTGTTTTTGACCTGTATTTTCAAAATTTTGACCATTAAAGAACTTTTAAAAAGTTTTTTGGTGGGGGGGAAGTATTACAGCGCGGATGATTAGTTATGTTGAAGGGGTTGGGTACTGGTTAAAAGAGCAAGTGTTAGGAAGGGGGATTTAAGTTGGGAATAAAACCGTTTTGCAATTTGATGTTTAGAAATCGAGTTGCCCCTAAGGTCGTTTTGCACAATTTATGCAATTTTTATTTGATAAATACAGTAATTCGTGCAAAATGATCGACGCAAAAGAAAAATATGAAAAATCCAATTCGATTGGATTAAAATTAGTTATAAATGTGATAGAACAATGATTTATTGTCGATTTTTTATTCAACTGGTTGTTTGAGAGCAACATAGGAATCCATTATATTTTAAACAATTTTGATCTGAAAAACCTATTAAAAATGATTTTTTTCATTTTACTTTGATACCGGGAATGTTCCGTGTTTCAATTTGGAAAAAAGTATGGGATTAAAGGATCATCATTACGAGGCCATACTCTGCACTCGGTAGGCGCAAACTTTGGTGTGGGTGTTTCACTAAAATTCAGAGACAAGTCTTCAACCATGTTGAAATTTCATCGGCACAATCGAAGAAAACACAACGAAAAAAAATCAAAAGAGCGATCTTTTTTATTAATCCGCTTACAGTTCACATATACACAGTTTGGCCTTGTAATGAGAGCTAACACGCTCCACACAAAAAGACGCATGACTTTAGAACCACCAACTTTAATTTTATTATTTGTCTAAAGTATTTTGTTTTAAACAAAACTGTCAAAAATTTTGAATAGTATTGAAGTTTTCAATTTCGAAAGCCACTCCAAGTGCAATAGTGGTCTCTAAAAATTTTTTTTTTGCATCTAATAATCCAAATTATTGGATATTAGATAGCTCTTCCGTAGTGACTTTGGCGTTATGTCTGAGCTTGCGCAAACCTGCGTCTCTAATAAAAAGAAAGTAACGAGCAATACTTAGCCCAAAATAGCTATTGTGAAACGCCAAAAATCATAGGGAAAATTATATGGTAGTCTACGGCCTAAGACTGTTGCATGAAAGTGAGTGAGGAAATACTAAAAGTTGTGTCAAAAAAACCTGTTTTTAAAAAATTTTGCATCTAAGTTTGACCTTATGTGGTCTGCAAACCGTCTAAACACGCTATTAAAATCTTCAAAAAGTACAAAAAATATTCCAAAGTTAGACTTTTTTACTAATTTTTGACAGAGTTGCTGGCAGTCTCAAAGAAAATTTGATTTTTTTCTTCTATCTGGTAGCTTCCTTGGTTCATAATGAATTAAAATTTTGCAGTGTTTCTTGCACACAGCCTGGTGGAAACGCATACGCCTAGAACGGCAAAAATCCTGGTTTCGAATCTGACCGAGACCAGTTTTGTTTTCCAACATTAAATTTTCCGGTTCAAAAAAATTCGTCCTATTTTTTGTCTGCTCATGTTTTGTCGTATAGTTGCCTTATCTAACAATCGTTTAAGCAATTTCACTACACTCATTTCCAGTATTTGAAAAGTCCGGTCGAATCGAAGTTTGCTTTTCTCAATGTTTGTAACTTTACCAGCTCGATTTGTTAAAAAATCATTTTATTTAATTATTTTTTAAAATTTTTTATTGGCTTGATAAAAGTCGGCCTAAATGATATGGCTTCAGTGGCTTCTGATTGCCTCGTTACGTCCGAAAAAAGTTTTTGTGCGCATGCGTGTGCTCTGAGGGGAAATTTTTGTAGGTTAAAAGTTTTTGGAATTTATTTTCGACATGATGTGCTTCTGCTCATGTTTTTGTCGGCTTTGTTACCGCTTGGCAATTATCATTTGAAGTCCAATCAAACAGCCGGCGCATCTGGCGTATAGATGAAAAAAGTGCTAGAGACGGCAAAGATTTGCGGTTCGAATCCGGCTGGGCTCCTTTTTTGCAAACTAGAGTTTTTGTGTTTTTTCTGACTATCGTATGTCTGTTTATATTTATCGGCTTAGTTCCCGTAGCCGAACAGTGTAGCTATATTTCAAGTTGCTGTAATCCCCATTCTTGAGATGACAAAGCGCGGGAGTTCCACTCCAGTTGAGACCAAATAGAGATTTTTGGCCAATTTAGGTCGTCTGTCTGCTTATTTTTGTCTGCTTAGTTCCGTAGAAAGGACTTTTTTTGAGAACTTGGATTCTTTATAGCATTCCCAAAGCTCTGTGTAGAGTTTTTAACGGTGCAGGCAATTTTGTTTTGGATCTTTTGGACTTTTGTTGCAATTTTTATCGGCAAAAACAAATTTTTGAACTTTTTCGTTTGATTTTCATAGTCATTCTTATTTGTACCGCAAGTGGTGCGAAGCTCAGCTTCGCCTTTGTGTTTGAAATTGTCTTGACTTGAGCAACCTAGTTTGGTTTTTGGAGCAATCAACAAGCATTGTTCCGAAGGTCACTGCTTCGTATTTTGTTGTTTTTTTTGTTATGAAAACCACCATTACAGTAGTTCTATTTTAAAACAGTCGAAAGTCTCCACATTAATCATTCGATGTTCTTGTTATAATAGACGTCTAGAAAAACACCATAAAATTAGTTTTCGTTATTTGACGTCACATATTTTCAACATTGTCTTCAAAACTTTTTTTTTCTTGAAACTGATGGTATGCAATTGAAGCTTGACATTGGTTTTTCCCGATAGAATACAAAAGCTATTTAAATGTTTGTCTTAGAAGAGCAAAGCTTTTCACTTTTTTTTCAGCAGAGTAGCAAATTGTTAAAGCCAGGATGATTTTTCCTTGTAAGAAGCATCCGTCATTTGAACTTAAAGTATTTTGATTCTTTTTCTGCTAGGGAAATTGTTATCTCAACATTCAATCGAAACTGAAGGCTGATTCATTGAGAGCCCATGAAAAATCAAGAAACTCAGCAAAAACCCAATTGCCATGGAAGTTTGATTTTTTGCTTTTTATTTTTTTAGACATGTTTTTTGAACGTTGGGACGAATTCAGAACTCATTCGTGCCTTAAATTCTTTTTTGTTGAAAACACAAAAATTTTGTCCAAATTTTAATTAAATGAATTATGAGAAAATGTTGAATTTTAGCTATTCAATTGAATACTTTGCAAAATTGTAAAAAAGTAGCCATACTTTTTTTTAATCAGTAAATGCACTAGTATCCCCAGTTTATTGTCAACTTCTAATTCAATAGTCTGAAAAATACTCCATATGACTTTGGATGTTGCGGTTACCTTAAAACATTCTAATCAATGCTCTGTACAGAGCTGAACGTATCAGTTTTGGCGAAAGAAAAAAGTAGATGTGTGTTAATTTCACCAAAAAACCATACTCCAGATGGTTGGAAAAAACTAAAACGCTTGAATCTTAACATTATCAGACGAACAAAAAGGTTCAATTTTGAGCCAGATACAAAGCTTCGGTTCAAAATTTCCATCTAGCATTCGATAGAAAGCAGTGAGTTCTAATAAAAAAGTTCGTTCATTTTTGTACCTTGTAACGCAATTTCTTTTTTTCTGTGTTCTTTGGAAAATTTTGAAACAAAAAAATATATCTTTGAACGAAGAATAATCCGCAAAAACGGTGTCAATTGGAATGATAGACCATTTGATATTATGTTAGATATCTACGCTGATACGGAATATTTAATAAAACATCCATTCTGCCCTTTTTAAAACTTATATTCTTTTTTGACTCTGAAAAACCTACTGCAAACGATCCATCTGTGATAGAAACTTAATCCTGTGTATGTTAAAAACTTTTAAGGAAACAATTTTGATAATATATAAAACTTATGGCTGTTGAAAAAAAAACAAGATCTGCATCAAATTTCATTTAACAGAAGCCCTAAAACTTAAAAAAGTAAGTTGACATTTTAATTTGATACTTGCAAAATTGTTACAAATAGTGTGGCAGCTCTTAAATTTAGAAAAAGCATCAATA